AAAGATATAAAAGAAATAAATATAATAAATAAAATATAATAAATATATGAGATAAATAAAATAAAATAAATAAAAGAAATATATTTATAAAAGAAATATATGCTATAAATGATATAGATGACATAGATAATATATATGATTTCTTAGAGATCGACATTATCCTTTAGATCATCATTATCCATGTCTTTTTTCATATAACATTATTAATATTGTTAGTATTTTTAATGTAGTTTTTTATTTTATTTATTTTATTCTTATATTTTATTATTATTATTTATTGTATTATTATTATAGTTAAATTATACTTTATCTTTTATATTTATTTTAATATTATAAAATAGTTTAGCATTAGATAGTAGTTCTCTTATAATTGTATTTTATATAAATAGAATAGCAAATTGTTCTTGCAAAAGGCAGAGATAATTAAGATAACTTAATAGTTTAAGTTAAAGACTTAAAATCTAAGGAAAAGAATTGCTAAAGATAATCTCTGCAATAAATGAATCTCTTTTTAAACTACACATATTAAAATCCTTCAACACGTTAATTGTATTTATTGATATTTCAAATTGTTAAAGTTATTTACTCGTCTAAATTATAAACCTAAGGTTGATTATAATAGGACTTATTCTGTAGTAACTTAGTAATTTCTTGCATGTTACTCTCTATTATTAAGTTATCGTTACCCTAAATTTGATAGACTGAGTATAAGATTAACATCGTTATATATTTGATGTAATTTATAATGAAATCTATAACATAATAATTTTATTAGTGTATTGATACGTATAGGAAAATTCAGCATATTCTGGATTTGTCTAATTTACAAACCATTAACCAATTTTAACATCACTTTTTCATTTAATTTTTTCCAATGAATAATATTACTTGTGAAATAATCCGTTGTTGTGAAAACAAATTATCGCAATGATTTACATGTCAATTGATGACTATTCCACTTCACGAACCATCTAGTTGATCTAGTTGCCATTGAAAAACCAACTCATCAAATGATGGATAATCAAAATCTGCTGTGGTGGATATGGATTTGTAAATTTTGTAATATTGTTGTGTGTGTTGAGAGCTCATTGCGTAGGTTGAATGCCAAACCGTAGTTTCTATGTATTGTGACATAGCAGACTCGAACTCGATTTGCGCCGTTATAATTTGCTGCGTCATTATCCCGGGTGGTTGACAATAATCATCAAAATAGATTTGAGTTTTTAATAATGATTAAGCTGAACTTTTTTTTATTTAATAAATGAGTCTGATCTTTTTAATTCATCCAGCCTTTTTGATACTCTTAATTTCTCATTGATAGTTGGTGATGAAGATAGAGATTAGAGGTTTGAACCGGTTTTATTTACACAAACTGGTTTAAACTCTTTTATAATTTGAGACCCGGGTTTAAACTGAATTTAAATAAAACCAATTAAGCCGAGCATTGGGTTGTAATAAACCCGAAAAAAACCGAATTGCGTATATTTTTTTTTTCTTTGATTATTATTAAGAATAAATATTAAGTTAATTGCATGTTTAAATGATAGATAAAAATTAAAAGGAAAATTTGATTCACCAAATCCAGTGTTAGTCGTGAATAGACTTCCCCTGCGTAACCTTCAAAAAATGTCACGAAATGGCCGGCATCACGGCATTTGACTGGAATTAATTGTGGCGCACATGTGACGAATATTGGTGACAAATAGGATTTCACTACCGAAAAAATTCTCTGTCCCCATAATACAGTCAACCCTCTCTAAATGCACCCCCTCGGGACCATAGTGAAAAATTTAAAAAATGTGCATTTAAAGAGGGTG